TGTCCTCGGATTATTGACTTTGGCATTATGAAAAACGCACATTGGTGCCTTATACTAATTCTTTCCTAGTGCATTTGCAACTCAGGACTATGCTTATTCATGCAATGTGTTGGCAGTAAATTTAAAAAAGAAAAAAAAAAAAAAACCACACTACCACACACTTGAAAACTTATGGAGTGCTTTCTTTTCTTTTTTTTAACCATTTATTGTAACAATACCTCAGATAACTGTAGTTTTTTATTGCATGAATAATGTATTGTAGTAGCTAAGCATGCCCTCAGTTATACACTCCTGCCAGCAAGTAGTGGAGTGGTGAGTGCTATCGCTGAATAATGATTAATTACTCGCCCTTCTGAAGGAGCCTGGTTTTGTAAACTGGTCACACAGCATGTTACGTGGATTGTGTCTGCTACACAAAAGGTTACTTGCAATCACATAATGAGACATAATGATGCACATCACAACAATTCTTTGGTACAAATCTGCACACAATGGAATTTAGATAGAAACCCATTTATTTATGTGTCCTGTTTGCCAGAGGGTACAAAACTTCACTGCATTGCTGCAGTACTGCCATTGCTCCTTCTGCAATGCTGACATTTTGGATGAAAATAATATGATGGCTGCTTTAGCAACACTGAGAAGCGGCTTTGCACCCTTTCCCATTGCAGAGTGCTGGCAAACTCTGGGAGGGACTCAGCTCCCACTGTGTTATGGCTGTGTGCGTGTGATACTTTGCTGCAGCATGTCCAAAGTCTTAGTGGGAAGGTGGGAGGCAACTCCTTGCTGCGAGATGAGGAGCTCACCTGCAGGATGCAGTGAGCATATCTGCGTGTGCTCATACCTACCTGACCTGGGAAGGGTGAGCAGGGAATCCAGCTCCCACAGCACATTTGCACTTCATTATGTGGTCAAAGGAAGAAGGGCATTTAGAAGTACGGTTCTAAAACCTACAGCCATAATTTTTCAGAGCCATAACAGAGGAAAAAGATCTAGTTGTTCTTTGTTCCTGCCTCCCCCTTCTCCCCCCCTCACTCCCCCCCCAAAAAAAAAAAAAGCCAAGACTATCCAAGCAGTGGTGGGACCACCACTGGCAGCATTAATAGCAGAGCAGTGACATCTAGGCCTGCCTGTTCTCGGCAGGAGGTATTGGGCTCACCAGGCAGGATATGTGTAGTGCTTTAAACCTGCTTGTGTGCCACTAAGACCTAACGGCCAAGCTCTTCAACCTCTGAGCTGCAGAAGTTTGAGCTGCCAGAAATGTGTCACAGGGCCTGGGAGGCAGCGGGCCTTCTCTTGCTCTGGGGAGGACGGGAAGGCCTGGACAAGCCCCCACGTCCCACAGCAACCTGGCAAAGCTGGCTGCAGCAGCTGATGTTTTCTTTCCTTATGTCGTGACCTGGATTGTCCAGCAGCCCCATGAAAGCATTGTGCTGATTCGGTCAGGTAAGATGGTTTGGGCACAAAAGCCACATTTGACCAGGTGAGGACACGTGTGGTTTGAGAACCACAGTTTGGACACGCCTATGGTACTGTTGCCTGTCTCAATGTCTGGGAGCTCCTTGGCATCTTTTATTCAAACTAGTCACTTTGTTCATTATTGTCTTAAGGACAAAACATTTTGGTACTGTTTATATATCAGCATAACTCTGGTAGAAGATTGGCTACCCCGAAAAACAACATTTTCCTATAAATGGGGTGGACTTTGCTTATGCGGTATGGGTTGCTACTCTATGTATGAGGTTATAAACTGCCTCCTACCATCATCACCAGCTTCTATTTATGTACTTGCATGCAGCTAGAGAAGGCTGCTGGGGGTAAGACCAGCTAATGGCACCACCCTACTACCAGTGTGGCAGATATTTCTCCTGACCTTTCCCCAAGCCCTCAGCTTTGCCCGCTAGTAATGTCATGGCCTCAGCCACCACTTTGCCCTCTGATACATGACAGCTATGCAAACCATGACAGAGCGCTATGCGCCCTTTCAGCAAGCACAAGACAACCATGAGACACTTTGTGGGGTGCCAGCGGCCTGCAAGAGCCAGGGAGGCACCCTGGTGGGAGGGTGGGCATGGAGGGGGGGCTCAGGGGCCTTAACACTGTCAAGGGATGCCATTAGCCTAATGGCTGTAGTACATTGAGCTAGCAGCTGGCATAATTCTACAGCTAACAAATATAATTTTTCTTCCACAAATGGTTCCTTGAATGGTAGACCATACCAGGGCTGATTTACTGCAGCACTCTCCCGTGTGGCTTCTCTGATTTGTAATAATCTTGCTGAGGTGGCTCTGCAGCCTTTTGCTCCGCAGCGGCAATAACAGAGAGTGTCTCTGCCTCTGTCTCTTCCTTTTTTTTTCACAAAATAAAATGAAGTATGTTAGGTTGCAATACACTGAAGGCTTCTACCCCATTTTCACATTTAGCTGAGGTAGACCAAGATGATCAGAAGTTAGTGGGGAAGGGAAGCCAGGAGGACAGAGTGAAAGCATTGAAGAAACAACACGGGCAGGAGGCCCTTGGGAAAAAAATAAAAATAAAAATAATAAAAAAAAAACACGGCAACAGTGGAATCCTCCATTTTGATGGCTCAATATTTTTAGTATTATTTCCTGGCCATCCAGAAGTTGTCGATCTAAATAAAAAGGTGTCAGCAGACTCAGATCCAGACCTTTGCATATTTTGAGCTGGGCAACGGTAGTGAGATTTTTGTGGAAGCCTTAATGGAAGTGGACAGTGAATGGGCATAAAGCATCAAGCATGAAGTCTCATAGCTCTGAGTCTGCATGGAGGACTGGCACATATCACAATCCCATCAGCTCTTGCTTGTGATGTTACTAAGCTGTTGACATTGTATGAAAGCTGATATATAATTGAATAGCCTATGTGTTCATCTAACAATGGAAAAGGCATAGCAATAATAGGACAACTCCATAGTGAGCCTTCTAGGATGCCTCTTCCTAGCAGAAGCAGCTTTGCAGGTAGCTATTTATGCCTTTACTCTGAATCTCATGGCACTGGTCTTGCTCTACAATGTTGGGTCTGATGAGATCGGGCGAGGTTAAGCTGCCACGAATAGCTGCTGACTGGCAGTTTATTCCCTCGCTTGATCAACAATGCCAGACTCAGTACATGTCTGGGAGGCAAAGAATACAGTTGGGCTAGACAAATGGAATAGGAACCAACAATAAAGTGAATCCTGTGCTGTCATATACATTTTTTATTCACATTGCACATAAATCTCACCCAAGCTCATGGGAGAACTTTAGCATCCCCTTAAACTCCCATTTATTCTCCATCCTTCTCATTCTTTGCACTATTAAGAAACAGATTTATTTTCTGAAAACTACTCTTAATCATTGTGCAAATAGCAATGGAACATTTATACTCAAAGTAATAAATAGACGATTCGCATCTTAATACAAGGCTGGAGATTATTCTGACTTATTTGTGTTTATTGCATCCAACACACAGATGCCATTCTCAGTCTCTGATAGAAATGTTAATTATGGGATTTCATTATTCTGATTTAGATTTAGAATTTTTTTGTTGTTGTTGTTGTGTGTTTTTTTTGTTTGTTTGTTTTGTTTGTTTGTTTGTTTTTTTCCTATTCCACATCATGCTTTGGACACCTCTACACGACATGAAATGAAGACGTTCAGTACTCCCAATGCTATAGGCAAAAAGAAAATTAGGTTTAACTGGAAAGGGGAATAACATGAAGATCTGTGCAAAATATAGAGTAAAAGGAAACATGGAAATCTGACTGTTATTATGCTAGCTAGTTAGTGTTGAATCTCTGGACAGATCAGTTACAGCTTCTGATGATAATGAGAATATAGGGAAAAGGGGGGTATGGTCAGTTCTGGAGTTTATGTTCTTTGCTACAGAATGCCTATGTCAATTCAAGTACTTCTGAATATGGGAAAGTGGATTGTCAAGTCTTGTTAGAGTGGCTTTTCTTGGATGAATAGGAAATGTTTTTTTCTTTCTCCTGGTTATGTCTGCCTTTATTACTTTATACTGCCAAAGGCAGTATCTGGCCCTTGGAACTGTTTATTTCCTGTGTGCAGAGAGAAACAGTGTGCAATCTTTTCATTGTTCCATTTTACTGACACAGGTTCAGGTAATGCCAAGGAAACTATTCTTCTGGTCCAAGTGGAAGTCATATGGATCTTTGGTTCCTTTATCAGCGTCACTAGGCTTGTTTATCATTTAACCTTTTAAGGCATGTTTAATCTTCACTAACCTGCTGCCATGCCTATTCTTCAGCCAGCATATGCATACACTTGCATATATATACCAGTTAAGCACGTTTATATATGCATATATAGATATCCATACCTCTTATATGTATATGTATATATATACTACATATATATTATATATTATATATACACATATGCATGTAGAGTCCTCATCTGAGCTTTGCCATTCAGAAACTCATCAGATACAATAAAACATAAACTCTAATTATAGCTTGCCATCCAAACAAGGCTGCAGGCTATGTCTACATTCATACATGGCAGAAGAATTACTACTGCAGGCCAGCAAGGAACCCTGATTCCACTTGCACCCTGGCTGACATTGTCAAGATTGGTCTTCCTGCCTCAGTCACCATAACAAATGGAATCAAAGGAAATGCCTTTTGCATTGAGGTCGTGGCAGCCTGTGAGCATTTACGGTATTGTTTAGGTCAGAACATATGCAGTAACTGCATAACTCCTGGTAATTTCAGCATTTGTAATCATTCGTCTCAAACTTGTTTTCTGTATATCTGCAGTCATAGTAAGTGAATTCAGGGCTGTTTTAAAAATAAATAAATACTTATTAAGCACTTGTTTATAAATTTGTAATATAATGTTATTTATGTCATTTATATCTATGTGCTCTACAGGCTGTTGCTAATGGGCAAACCCAGGCCCTTTGAGTTTAACCTGATTAGCCTACAAACAGTTAAAAGATGGAAAGCAGCAGTACCTGTATTTCACTTGTGCTGAATTAGCATCTACTGAAATTGCTCTGCAGGTACCCTGTGTCCCCAAGACTGCAGGCACCAAAGTACTTCCACACTGTCTTGGCGCCTTCCCAAAATGCAGGTGTGGGAACAAGCCAGGGGATTCAGGCTCCAAGGCTGGCAGTGTGCAGGTACAATCAGAGAACACTTCAACTTGACGGAAATTGTCATTTCCTTAAATCTGGGAAGATGCATCAACCACTCCAAGATATGATAACTGGCAATAAATATTTTTAGCTAATGAACTCCTATGAACCCCTTCCTCCATTATTTTTCAGGGGGAGGTGGGGGAGAAGGGCAATATCTGGCAATTGAACAGGGATTTTGTTTTATTTATTTTATTATTTTATATTTTATTTTGTTATTATTATTTATTTTATTCCTGTTTCTTTCTATGATTAAATTCATATTTGGCTGCAGTATTTTGTATGTCATTTCCTATCCCTGATCATAAACCAGGAAAGTCTCTTTCAACATATTCAATTCACAGTGATGACACTGTAAGGATTTGTTCCAGCTCCTATATCTAAGAATGCATTTGTTTGTTTATTTATTGCAGCACTCTTCTTTAGTACTTATCACTAGCATCTCTAAACCAAAATAGTTTGTTAGACACAACAGCACCAGGTGGTTTCTCAGTACAGCCTTCCCAGATATCTCAAATCACTACAGCTTTGCAGAAAATGATGGGAGCACTTTGGCTTCTGCAGGAGCGCCCATGACGCCCATACCAACAATGATTGTAAAGTCTATGCTTTGTAATACTTCTCATACAGCCTCAGCATTAAATAAACCTGCTCTATTTTTGAGTGCTACTACTGTGATTCTTGAGGGGTAAGTAGAAAACATCATTTCTTTTGATTATATCTTACTTTGTTTATAAAATATGTGGTTTTATCCTATTTATTTAAGATCTATCTACCTCTCCCATTCAATATTTTTTTCCTATTCAGATCTCTAAAAGGAAATAGTTGTCCAGCGCTGCTGAATGCCTGTTATTAAGGAAAAAAGTATTTAAAGATTCAGAGATACCCCTGCTGTATCCTTCAATGGTTTTACAATCTCTTTGTTGTGTTTTTATCACTTCAGCATTGCACTAGCTTTCCTTTAGCTTTTGATGAAATCACTGGAATAACAGGCTCTGGGAAAGTGCTTTATCTGAGATCCCAAAGACAAGTTTGTTCCAAAATGTTCATGCTTTACAGTCTTCATATTTTCTTGTCTGGTAATATTACAAAGTGTTTGCAAATGCTCTTATTCTTTCTCCAAGCCTTTGGTTACTTTGCTAGAGAGATGTTCTTTGTGAATTAAGTGTTCTTTGAGGATAAAATGTTCATCAGAAGTCTTCAGTGTTACATTTTCATCATACTACTTTGAAATGACATAATTTATATATATATATATATATATATATTTACCTATTTTCCTAGGGCATATGTAACAAAGGGCTTTCCCTGTCTTCTCATTTAACTTTGTAGTAATCATGTAATGGGGCAGAGTAGAGCCTCCAGCCAGCCCATTCAGCTGGATATCTGAAATTAAAACTCTCTGGTGGATTAATTGTTGGCATCCTGCAGTCATATATTGTTTTCCTTTCACTCTCTTTGTACTTCTCCTTATTAGACTGTGCTCACTTTCAACAGTATTTAGATAAAATGTGGATAGACAAATGGAGGCAATTAACAATTAATTACAAAATAAAAGTACTCTTTTCTAGTGGTATAGACAAGGGGGTATATATGTATACGCACATGTATATACCAGCATAAATACGTATGTGTATGCATGTATTTATATATTTGTTCACTGAAAATATTCTCAACTCGCCATGGAGAACAAATTCTGGAAGGAGTTGCATTCAGAAGCTGTTCCTGCTTTCACAGGAACAACCCCAGTCAACCCTTGAGGATGGTCTGATAGATATGAATTGCTGCTGGCATTATGAAATTGGAGAAAGAGGGTGACTTTGCCAAAAAAAAATGAAGCCATTTAGTCATAAACACTGCAGCTAAGTTGATTCAGGGTTTATCTAAAAAAGCCCAGCTGGTTTGGTGTAAAATGAGAGGCAGAATGCTAATTTAGATGTCAATTGTTTTTCAATAATGCTAATTTGTACTAAACATTCTCATTTACATAAGCAAACAAGGGCCAAATATTAGGCCAAGGAGCAAAATCAAAACTAGGGTTTGGCAATGGGGGAAAAGAGGCTGTTGGAACTGCAGCTGACTAATACCAGCTTTTTCAGTCAACTTTCAGTCCCTAAGTCCCTCCTCTCCAGTGGAGTCGTGGACACCTATATCATTAAAGCTAAACCTACACAAGTGCACTTATTTTCCTTAATTGTCCTTTGACAGTAATCTGAGGAGTTCCCAGACCATGGGTTGAAAATTTCTGCAGTGTTCCCTCTGGACATTTCTTCTTCATTTTCTCCTTGGTTCTTCTGTTTCCTGCATGACAATCTGCCTCCTTGGTGTCCTAGGATCTGTTCACCCCTCACCTTATACTTCTCTTTTGACCCATCTTGTAAAGCAGACTCCTGGTTGAGCAGGTATGGTTCTTTCTCCTAAAGAACATGCAGAAGATTTTGCAGTCTCGTCAAATTTAGGGCACTGCTTCCGCATCAGACTCCTGGATTCATTTCATGCCTTAAACTTTGAATTGAACTGATGCCTCTGATGGATAAGAATTTCCACTGAGTTTGTGCATTTGGGTATGTCTGGGCTTTCAGTTATGTGAAGGTCTCTCCATAAGAAGCCCAGCTTCTCAGTCTCCTGTTCAAAGTAGGTGTGTCAAGGCAGCCCATTAACTGATTTCTTGATTCTGTCTCTTCTCAGTGAAAACCTCTTTTTTCATTAAAAAACCAACAATAATTTCCTGTTATTTTTTGGTAAGGTAAAACTGGAAAGCTGGAGGAAGGAAACTGAAAATCAGCTATGATTTCAATGAAACATTTTTCTTTAATGAGTGAAAAGTGACATAATCTTTAAAGCAATATTTGAAGTTATGTTACTGCAATTTCAGTTAAGTCTGTAAAAACAGCTACAGTTAATACCTGTTCAAAATGAAGTTACTTCATTCATTTTCTAGAATTAAGCAACTATAATTCCCATATATCAAATTTATTGGTCTTAGTAGTGAATTAAGAATACATTTGACATAAACCTGTTTTTCCAAGCCTATTTTCCAGAAATATGAGTTTACCCTGTGTCATTTATTATTATATATTATATCTTTATAACATTACATCATTGTCATCTGTTAACATACTGTCTGAAAGCGTGGGGTATACAAAACTTCTGGTTATGAGAACAATCTTGTTTCCTTATATTTCCAAGTATATTTTCTTTCTCATTTGAAGGAATGAACAGCTATATGCTCTCAGGGACTTGGCTGCATTTTACCTGTCCTTAGCTGCTCAAGCACTAGTTACTTAGTCCAGTCTGTATACCTGGACTCACCCCCAGTCAGTGGACTTATGCCATTTCTTGACCTCCTTACCCCATGCAGCTTGTACAGTCATTAGGAGCGATTGGTTGCCTCTTGAGGTGCCAATTTCTCTTCATTAACTATGTAAGGAACACAGAGGCTAATTTAGAGACCTGAAATTTGGACAGATGAAATTAGATACAATGAGACCTGCTCTTTGGTTGTACCACACTTCAGTCCCTAACAGTAGGTACTTTTGTTGTTACCTGAGGTGAAGAACATTTGCTCATTATTTCATAAATATTTCTATGAGCCCTCTTTGTGCTGAATACATTAGACCCAATAGCTTGCTCCTTCCTAAAGAAGCAAAGGAATGTAGTTTCCATAAGCAGAGAGCCAGTGAAAATACTACTCTTCTCAAATTTCCTTCCTGGTGTCTCAGAGACAAATGTCTTGGCTTCTTCCTTGTACCTTCATCATTCAGCAGTGTAGGCACAGTGTTGGTGCTTAGACCAGACTGCAGCTGCAATAATGCAGGAAAAAAAAAAAAGAAAAAAGAAAAAAGAAAAAAAGTGGCCTAGAGAATTCAGAATATATAAATACAGTCCCAAGTCCTCTCCAGTGCAGAATCTGGCATTGGTTTTAATTATATCATTGCACTGTGCTATGGTGGGCATTTGTGAAAGAAAGCTAACTAAAATGAAAAAATCTCATCAAATTCCCAAACACTTCTTTACAGTCATATAGAGGCTCAAAAATCCATGCAAATTTTTTCCTCATTCATCTGTGACAGAACAGAATTACTGTACATGATGATTTACTATCTCTGAAGACACATCCTTTTTATTTTTAAGCCTAAGAAAAAAAAAAAGGCTCGAAGTGCAAGTGCATTTAGAAAAATAAAATAAATAAAACATCAACAAAAAAATGGCTCTAGAAAAATAAAAGTCACTTTCAAAAGAAAAGCAGATGCTTCCTGAAATTAATTAGACAAACATTTTTACCATTGTCACATGCCAATATCCTCTAAATCACTCCTATTGTTTTTTTTCCCTTATCTTTGTTCTTACCACTTAGATCAAGCTTTAAGTGTATAAAGCATCATTAAGGTTTTCTAACCTTGTGCTCTCACATGCTTACATATTGAATGGTAATAAAATTTAGTCAAAGGGAACTAGAGGTTATACTAGTCACAGAAGAGCAGTTGTTGTGCAGTCTATTTCTTGTTAAGTATACGTGTCCTTTTTCCACTGGCAGTCATACACTATACTGTGACCCAGAGGTTCTTGGCTATTTTTTTTTTTTCACACATGCCTATGCAGGAGCATGGATTCTTCAGAGTGGGCTTTAGTTTGCCCCTGGCCTTTTAGGCATTCTTTCAAAGCATGTTCTTGCAATAGTAACCAATTAAACTAGTTACTAAGAAAGAAGCATGTTTCAGCACTTAAGTTAATTGAACTGTTACAAACTAAATATGATTCCAAATTGTTTCTGTATTCCAAATCACTTCATGCATGCAGATAAAATGAAAAAATTACTAAATCGTTTTGAAATGTGCAAATCAGGCATACAATACTGACATTTAGATCTGTGACCTGATCACAATGTAGTAAGTACCTTTAAAAACTTTGTGGATTTTAAAGCTGTCATATGAAACCCTTGAACCACTGCTTGATGTGATATTCAATAAGTGGAAGTCAGGCTGCAATCAAATCGTGGAACTGTCTGCATCAGGGTTTTACTACCAATTTACCCAGAAAATAATCTTTCCCTGATTCATTTCACGGGCCAAGTAAGAAAGGAGGAATGACTTAATGTATAAAACACCATGCTTTATTCTTTGGGACCTTGGTTTGAGTTCAATTTGTGGTCCTAACTGAAATGAGCAGCTCAATCTCCAATGAACAGTAGTCCATATCGTCGAACTACCACACACAATTAGGCACAATTGGCTGTCTCTGCTTAGAAGTTGGAGACTGATTTAGCATGGAGACTAAATCATTTCTCTAAGCTGTAAAGTGGGATGGCCCTTTCTGGGACTCTGTGGCAAAACAAAGCAAAAACAACAAACAGACAGAAAAAAAATCCAAAGCACCATATAGTTTCTTTATTTCAGGATTTTTCTAGTAAAAGAAAAATAAGGGATAGGAAAAGCTTTGTTCTCTTATAGTAAAAATCAGGTGGCAAACCTGATTTGCATATTTTCTCTTTTATTAGGGAACAAGTAGCTACTATAACTGGTGGAATGATGGTGAAAACACTGCTACAAAGAACAAATGGACACTGCTAAAAAGAGAAAGGAAACAAACAAACAAAAAAATGTGAAGGAGAAGAGAAATGATGCTGGAAGCTGGCAAAAGCTTTCCCCTCTGAATCCTGGAGCAGGAGAAACGCTTGCTGGGTAATGCATCTATCTAGTTACATGTCATACATGACCACAGTATTGAAGGGTTTAGCTGTCCTGGGATTTAAACATGTCACTACTGGGATAAGCTGCACTCGTACAAAACAGAGTAGTGTAAACTCTTTTGCCAATGGAATGAGTGCCTTAGTGGTGAAGCTGTGGCAGAGAGGCGATTTGAGAATATCAAGGTTTGCACAGTAGCATGGGGAGGAGAGGGCGATAGCTGGATGGGCTGTGCGAGCCGCAGAGAGCTCAGTGAGGGGCGAAGAGAGCTGCAGAGCTGCTAAGCAGGGGATTATAGGGAAGCTGAAGGAAAAAATGAGCCTACATCAGTGTGGTGTAAAGATAGAATTAAATTGAGTCACTGGATCTCGTTCACAATACACCAGCAGAGGATATTGGCTAGTACTATGGAAAAGAGAGATTTAGCATTTGCACCTGGAGACTTCCTAAAATGTAAGGATCAGAGCAAGTCTTTACTATATTATTAGGTATAAACAGGCTCTGTCAAGCACTGGAAGACTCAGTGTGGTGCTCCACTTTGAGAAACAGGTCACAGCAGCTGGACAGTAGGTGGCACGGGCAGGGCTGCATTGTTTTCTGAACCTGAGCTGGTGCAAGTGGGCTGCCTCCGCAGCTCCAGCTGGTCGGGACATCCTCACATGGCACTCCTCTGTGACGTACAGGCATGGCAAGAAGCTGGAGGGGGCAACTAGACCTTGCCCTGCAAACTTTTGTTCAACTTTGTGTACTAACATTAGACCTCAGAGGAAATTGGCAAGCTTTTATTTTTGACGGTGGCTTTTTTAGCTCTTCTCAGGGATTTCAATAATTTTCATTATGAACTATACCAGCCTCTTTCATCTTAGGAAGAAAAGACTGCAATCGGGGGTATACAGCAGCTCTTCTTTTTTAGCTGCTGGAAAATAAGTTAATAAATGCAGTCACAATACAGGGTATACCATTCTCATTCCTTATTGATACCAACTATACTGTAACAATGAATTTCAAAGTGCTGCTGATGTAAACTCTACCTGAAGCCTGTTTGATCTCAGATAAGCATCTTCATCCCATTCTTCATTTCAAGAAAAGAAAATCTTACTGCACAGCAACATATTCATCTGCTTTGGGTTCAGTTCAAGATAAGCCATGCTTTGCAGAAAACCTAATTAATATCAATCACAAGAAAAACAGAAATTGGAAGGAAATGTGCTTTCATTTCTTGATAAACAGATCACCCATGATACATACGCAAATGGACATACTGATTTGCTTTATTATGGAAGTATCAGAAAAGGAACAGTCCCTGTAGGGAGGGGGAAGAATAAAGAATAAAGGGGTAGTTGCCCTCTCACTCTGGTGTAAATTATAGAGTTATTTCATGGTGTTAAACAGGAATCCAATGGTAGGACTTCAGACCAGAATTAGGTTCTGAAATGGCAGGTTTAGTGGCATTTTAAGAAGTGTTTACTTCCAACATTCAGAATAAAAATTATTAGTTAGAGTTCATAAACACATTTTTAATAGTTCCTATAATGTATTTCATGCATTTCTTTTTTCCTTTCTCCTCCCTCCTGCCAAAAGTAAAGTCACGACTTATGACCTAAGAGACCTTATGGGCTTAGAATAGAACATTTAGGGATAAATATTCATATTTGGAAAAATGCATGAAAATCAGAGCAGCTAGCTTCTATCACTCATCCACTTCACATAGTAGCATTTTAGATGACCTTTGAGGAATTTTGTGTGTGTTCACTTTCCCATCCATGGATTTTAGCCTTGGATCTGGTTATATAAATTCTGGCTATATAGCTACTCTCAAATAGTATCAGACTTGCGTTAGATATGACTCACAAAATTTTCTTGCACAGAACAGAATTATGCTCTTATCTGTGCTCTTGGTCATATTGGAAAAGAGAAGGCTTGGAGGAAAGGTCACCAATCCTTAGAGAGGTCCCTGCCTTGGCCATCCATCCACCTTTAAAGTCCTTGATGTTAGCATTTCAACTGACAGTGATGGCATACATCAACCCTGGGAAGAAACACAAGAGTCAGGTGTTTCTGTTTTATTAAAGCATTCACTCAACAAAGAGTCGATTTAACTGCATAAAATATCACTCCATTTAAGTGAATAGTAAAAAAAAAAAAAAAAAAAAAAAATTTATTATTAAATAAATAATTTTTAGCTGCTTTGAGCTCCTCAGTATTCCAGCTTTCTTCTAAGCTTGTGCTTGATTATCTTCATATGATTCAACTCTTTTAGCTGCAACACCTTTAGGCTTTACTCACAAGAAACAAACCAACCAACCAAAGAAAAACAAACCCACCACCACCACCACAACAAAACACCGGAGGACTGATCTGTTCACGTACAAAAAATTTAAAAGAAAGGTCCAAGCACTTCTGTTCTCCCCCCCACCCCCTTCTCTCCTTAATGTTCATTGATATGACAACATTTAATATATTTCAGGTGATGTGTCTTCACAGTCCCTCCTTTCTTATACTTAGTGTTACGATATCTTTCTCTTTGAGAATGGTTTTCTTTTAGTATCTTGTGCCATTACTGAGGAAATTTCTGGTGCTATGTGTCACTCTAAGGACATAGATATCTGCTGCCCATGCTGAAAGGTTCATTCCAATAGGAAAATTGGGAAATAAAATAGCTGCAAAAGCTACCTTTACCAGCTTTGAAGAAGATATACATGAAAATAAACATAAAGAATGGAAAGTGTTGTCTAAAGATGAAGCTACAGACCTTGGGCTAATTCCTGATTCAATGAGCAAGCCATTAGCACGCTGTTATTTAGCCAATGGTCCATACAAGTCATTTTTGCCAGTGCTTGTTGGCAGATATCATTAGTGGGCTACAAGTCAGTTCCTTAGCTGTTTCTGAAAATCAGTGCACCTCCAGAAGGAAAGGGAAGGGAAGGGAAGGGAAGGGAAGGGAAGGGAAGGGAAGGGAAGGGAAGGGAAGGGAAGGGAAGGGAAGGGAAGGGAAGGGAAGGGAAGGGAAGGGAAGGGAAGGGAAGGGAAGGGAAGGGAAGGGAAGGAACGGAACGTAGATAAAGAGGTACCAGACAAGTTAATGTTTCTTTCTCCATATTTTTCATTCATTCCTTAGTACTTATCTGCACTGACACTAAGACATGACCCATCCAGTCTAGCTTTAACTGCAGAGTCTGTCTAGCAATCTAGCTGCAGTCTAGTTGCATCAATGCCAGCTTACTGCCAAAATACATCCCCAGATTCTGTTTTCTTGAAACCCGCACATGTATTTTCTGCTGAAGCTTCCCTAGCTGAAAGATAGCTTAGGCTATGGCTGTGTGCTATGTCTGTAGTAATAAACCTTGCCTACAGCATGGTCCAACCTCACAGAATGCATCTGGCTATTGTATTAAGCTGTAAATAATGTGGGAAGTAGGCAGATAGATGGATTTATGTTGCTACTTTTCAAGAAACTGTGGCTTTGAGGCACAGTGCATGTATCTGTCAAAATAATACACACAGCTCTGCAGTTAACTATTTACAAAGGATTAAAGTTTAGCTCCTAATAAGATCTTCTCTCTGATGCTTTGCATTTGCTGCCTAATACGACAAGAAAAGTCTGTACAAATTATGAAGAGAATGTAGGAATTCATGCAGATCTGAAATATTCTGTTCAAAGGTGGATATCTGGAATAGAAAGCAAAACAACAACAACAACAAAAACACAGTCCAGACAAAAATGCTTCCTGCACTTTGTAAGAAGCAAAATAGAATCAAACCTTTATTGAAGTTCAGGAATGATATAGTCATGTCTTTTCTTCAGTTGGGTTTCTGTAAGGCAAGAGAACCAGAAAACTGCAATATTCCAGATCACATTTCTCTAAGCATTTCAGATGAAACACTCTCCCTCTTCCCAGATATCTAAGAAAAAGAAATTAAATTTGAAAGCTTTTTACTATTTAAAAGGTGTTTGTTTGAACTTTACCAGTATTTATTACCTATTTACTTTATTTTTTTTTCTTTTTCTCCACTATTTTGAAAATTTCTTCTCCACAGCCTCCTTTTTGCAACATATGACTCTTTGCATGAGGGAAAACAGAAACTGCATGGCAGCTCCTCAGCAGCTGTTTTTTAAGTTAACTGTTGCTTATTTTCTAATTGGGAAGCATTTTAGCATATGGGCTCACCTTTAGTAATTGATACTGTCATTCTGCACATATCCACTGAATAACTAGGATTTTGGAAGCAACAATGACATTATTAAAAACAAAATGGAAACAGGCAAATAACATTTAAAAGTAGAAGAAGTTTTTAAAATAAAGACTAAAGGAATGCTAAAATCTGTAGAGGATCATAAGTTTTGGGATGATATATCCTTTCAGCTGAAATCTTAGAGATGCTGTATTATAAAAGATAGAATAGAAGCTGACAAAACATAAGGAAGTTTAGAGTGAGCAAAATAGTTCCTATTTAGGAAGAACACAGAAAAGTGGCAACTAGATTAAGTACTGGTACAGCTTTAGAAATTTTGGAAGTCTAAAAAAAATAAGTTAGGAAAATAAGAGTAAGTGGATTTAAACGAGGATTTGCTGTATAATAGACTCAATGGAAGAAAGATAATCAGTCAGATGCAACACCAGAGAACAAACTCTGGGAAGATAAAGCATTTCCCGGAGGGGAAGTAATGGTGCAACATGTAACAGTATTCTGAGTATTAAATTTTATGAATGATTTAAGTACATCAACAGATACCAAGGATTCTGTACAGATGGTAATTCTATACCTACAAACTGAAATGACAGAGTTGCCTGTTGCTGTCAGCCACCCATTCAGATTAGTTCTAATGCCTCATGGTGACACACAGTAAGATCAAAGACTCTACCATGATAGGATACTTCAGTTGCAAATTAAGATGCAAATTAAGATGTCTCAGACGCAATATGATGCCAAGGTTAAGTTTTTTTTTGGTGTAATGAATGATTGTTTAATGGAGCAGATAGCCAGGAGTCCCAGAGGAGAAAAGCAGCTCTTTACTACTAGAAGACCAAGTTCAAAATGTTGTTGTCGATAAGCAAGTCTGACAGTGTCTGTGATGTACCTATAGTCAGAAACCTTGATTGAACAACAAAATCTAAATCCAAAATATTTCAGAAAGTGAAACTTTTTTTTTTTGTTTTTATTCTTATTTAGCCTTTTACCATTTAAACTGCTAAGGCAGCAGGAACTCTTCTTGTTACTGTAGTTGTCTCCAGTAAACAGTAGCTCCAGGTGAGCTTCAGCTTTCCTGAAACTATCTTTATATGCACAGGCCTTTCATAAGTCCTTCCAGAGACTGAAAAACACAGAAAAATAAGAAACAAGGGGAGTTCACAGGTGAACATAGAAAAAAAAAAAAAAAAAAAGGAAAATAGGGTTTATGAAGTGCAGGATATGCATAAAAGGTCTAGAATTTGAATTTGCCAAGGATGCTAAGCTATTCAACTTAAGTAAGCCCAAAATGTCTAGAGTATTGCCAATGGATTGTATGAAGCAATAAAAAGGCAGATATATTTCAAGTTGATAAATGCAATTTGACGTGTTTAGAAAAAAGATCTACACGTCATATTCATAATGTTAGCTCAACACTCTGTACTGGTCAAGCAAATAAGAAGAGTCAAGCAAATAAGATGAATGGTAGGAAGCACTAGGATGATGACAACAGCAGCAAACTTCACTACATGATTATTTAAACCTATTCTGACCATAACTTCAATAATACAGATGGTTCTATCTCTTCAGTCTTGAAAAGTATATTGTAACATTAAAATAGGCTGGAAAGAGGAAGGATGATCAGAGGACCAGCTTCTGTATGAAAGACAACTAACTAGAGAAGAACACTTCAGCTTGGAAAAAACATAACAGAGGGATAGATGTGAGGGACATGATGAAAACATGAGCAGAAAGAAGAGACAGATAGAAAGTTATTATTCACTGAGTCTTACAACATCAGAAGAACATAAAATCTAACTAAGATGTCTCAGACACAAAAAGAGGAGGAATTTAAGTACACTGTGAAGAGCTAAACTGTGCACTTGATTGTCGTGGGAGGTCAGTGTAGTAGATGCCAAATTTTACATGCGTTCAGAAAGCAACTGGGAAAATTCATGTAAAAAAAAAATTCAGAATTATTACAATGAGGATACTCAGGACAAGTTCAGGCTGCAGATCACTAGAATGTGGACGACCTTGCCAAGGGAAATAGCACTGTCTAGATATATCTGATACATCCATCCAGCTCAGTCTGTCCTAACACCCTTTACTAGACTTTAAATCATACATTATATATATAGGACACACACAAAAACATCTATGTTTGTGTATTACACAAACATATTCAGTACAACAAAAGCAATGATCATTTTTTTCATTTGTCCCAATTACCCCCATGTAGTTTATAAGGAATCCTTTGATTTTATAACCTAAAAGAAGCTGAATCAGGCACTAGGATGAAGAAAGGTATGTTCTTAATGGCCATTGGTCTGTCCATCTTGAAATCAGCCTGGGAGTGCCAAACATGTGGCTGGAGAGAAATAGGAAAAAAAAAAAAAAAAAAAAAAGAGGGAAATTAGTTTTCAATTGCTCATTTAGAATTGCTAGTTTCAATCAATGACAATTTTAAGGCATTAAACACATTCCAGAGTAACTTGTCAAAAATAAAAAAAACCTGCAGTTGCTGACATTCTCAGAGGTTTTTTAATAAGATCAGGGTCAGTGATGGGAAATAAGCAGGAAGATGAATAGGATGTCAAAATTAAATTGAGTTCCAAAAGAGTTATCTTAAGTTACCAGAAAAATAGAAACACATGGAACTTTGTCTCAAACTAAACGGGAAATGCATGTTTTAGCTCAGAAGGTAGTGGGAAGGCTGATGACTATCTTTAGAGGTATTAACAACCCCTGCTATTTTAGCAGCATGAAAAACCTTCATCCTTTGAATTCTGGAACAGAGAAGGTTCTACTTATTTTAAATCCTAATGATTTCTGCTGCACCAAGCTCTTTCATTTTTATACAGGAAACCCAGATTAATTGTTTCAACCATCTGACTATCCATTACAATCAGAGGATGCACTTCTTGTTAAAGTTTCAGTATTGTTGAATAAAATACCATTTTAACAACCCATATGTCCATGTTTTTGTTTTGTTCTGTTTTGCTAAATGCTGTAGCACTTCGTTTTCTGGAGTGTAAATACACTATTGGCCAGGCTGTCATTAATCATCATTGTTGTCAATGAACAGAAATCCAGTGAGAGAAAACAATTGAATGTCTAGGACTGCAGAACAGTTCAGGTTTCTGAATGACCATTCTGATTAATAATGCTATGTTCATTTAGGAATTTGTTTGTGCACCATTTAGGAATTCTGCTCAGGTCTGTGGACTCACTGCACGTTTATGCTGCTGCTTTAAATACTCCTTAGCCTTGAGAGGCAGAATACTGGGTCTGAATAAAAGGGTCATTAAAAATAGTTAGTCTTCTCCAACCAAAATTATGGCATGACTTAATCATGGGAAAAAAAACTTTCTCTACCTTGTCTGTGGATGAAAACCTGGAGTTTTAAGGACTGGAAAGCCCCTGGAAGAAAACAAAAAGATCAAGAAATGTGTAAATACAGGGCTAAGTAAAGAAAAGTTTGCCGAGCAGACAGACACACAGGAATAGATTTTGTGCTTGGTAATGCAGCTGAGCAGGGGGGACCTGGAACTCAAAAAGTTGGTGCCATTTTTCTGGATACTGGGAAGAAAATGGAAACTGAGATGTTTCATGTAGATCTCTTTGTGTGAAATAAAAAAAAAAAAAGAACACTTAATGAGTCATGTCTATTTGCTTGAATAGCAAGACTGCTAGTAAAATTGCCCTCAAGAGTGGAGGCCTGGAAATGGATGTTTTTAAAGTTTTTAGGAACTTTGTTTCCTATTTATGGGTTAAACAAGAAACACATGATGTATTTAACAAGAGTACTAAATGAAGTAGACCTGGAAATGATGGGTGGAGGCAACCCTGGTGCAAAGGAGAGCTTAAAAGCGCAGAGACCCAACTTTCAGGTCACAGCTGCTTGGTGGAATCCCGTGAAGTGACTGGATAGTCTTCATAGAAAATGTTTGAGTTTGTTTCTGAGCAAAGTCCACAATATAAATGTTGGGTCTTTTGTGTGTCTTCTGCTATATTCCAACTAGTGAGTTAACTGTACTATTACTAAAAGTACCCAGTAGATTGATTTTATAGTTACACTTATCCATATCAAATTAGTGCTGTTTGCTCCCCCAAAACTTGTGATTTTGGTTTAGGTTCTGCTTTTAGCTGGAAACTGGCATTTTATGACTCTTTAATCTACAATACAGTCTCAACTAAATGTCATTTCACACCTTCTTGGTTCTCCAATAAGGTGTTCTCGCCTTACTACTCTCTAAAAAGAGCTGTTGTAGGGACTTAGAGCATCATTAGTTTCTATGCTTAAACATGGAAAATGATATATAAGAACTAAGCTTTATTATTCTTAATGTTTTCATATGCTTACAGGGAACTGAAAGTCCACAGGGGACAGAAATAAAAGTGGAAATATAGTAACATTTTACTAATATAGGAGTGGCTGCGAAAGAATGAATGTTATGCTCCTGAGTTCAGGGAACGTCCATGCAGAAAAAGACTGACTCACCTGAAATCAGAAACCAGAGAGCATCTTCATATGCTATCTGGACACATAGGAATATGCTGGACTCTCACTTGTGTTCCTTTTATACCTCTTAATTTGAATCAAGGGACATGAGGCTGCCTATCAGATAATGCAAATGATGAACCCAGATGTATCAGGCTATTCGATGTGTGGGTGCAGGACAGTCATGTATTGGGTGTGCGTCTTCATGACTCATGTCATACAGTGAGGGACTGGTGGTGAGGTAAGACTCATGGTGAGAAATGTACCACTGCAAGGGTGGCTGGTGACTGCTGCTCTGTTAAGTTCAAGGGCAACCTGAAATACCTCCTTTTTCCCCTGGAACAGGCTCCCAGGCTTCTCCTCCAGACTGAATGCAATGACATGGTGACATCTGTGCATATATATGCATGAGTGTCTGAATCAGAGCCATAGGCATAGGTTTTGTACTTAGTATTTACTCCAGGCGTGATGGAGGAAAGTATTAAAATTACTGATAAGTTTTCTGTGTTAACAGTTTATAAAGAAAAGGCAGATATTCTGGGTGACTGTGCAGGATGTTTATTTTCTTCAGTAATTTAAAATCTAATGACTTTCATGGTTAATCCTGTTTCCTTTGCAGCTGCTTTATCTCTTTTGATAATGATGTAAGCTTAAATGTAAGTGTGAAGGGCATAAGTTTACACCTGGAAAATCACTGAGGTCCTCTATTTGATCATGCAGATCTGTCTCACAAAGACCTGAAACCTTGCAAGGGTCTATATACTAAGTTTATTCCAGTGATAATATCCATTTCTGTCCTAATGCTTTCACTGAAAATGAAAATTGCCTACTTTCCAGTCCTAGAAATACATGATTTCCTGTATATTTCTTCCTCCTACTTATTCAATCCCTTCTCCTAATCTAGCTCAGCGTTACATGTATTGGCACCGGTGACAATTGAAGGGAGTGAATTTAGAGTGGTTTGCTTTGCTGAAGGTCTGACTTTGCTGTTGTTATTGGGACAAAATTCAATGTTTTTGTTAGTATATATAGAATCTGCTATAAATAATTAAAGTCAGAATTCAGAGAATGGAAATGGACAAAGTATTGGAAGAAATGATCCAAGATATCTGAACACGAATTTAAAAGAAAGTCCCATGAGAAAAAGGAAACCCTGGAGAAAACTAAAGTTCTTCAGCGTAGGCATATACTACTTTTTCAGGAGGTGTTCCTAGTGAAACGTTGGTGGGATAGATGGTTTCTCCATATTTCACTATTCCCTTTGGTTCATGAACGTCAAGGGCAGTTTGTGTTTCTTTCTGGAAATGAGGTAGCTCAGAAGTAGCTGAGCCATATGACACAACCATGACTCATTTCTTGACTCAACTGAGCTCAGGAAGAATAATGGAGGAGAATAGATAAAGCTAGTGCAGAAAATAGAGCGCCATTTCAGTCAGTTTGTTTGCTCTCTAAATGAAGTGGGCAAAATTCTGAATCTCAAAGAAGAAGTAGATTATGGTAGCAAATTGCATAAACACTGCAAAATCAAAATTTCTGTGTAAAGCTGTAAATTAAAGCAAAAAAGAATCATTTTTCACCCACTTAATAGCTTGCATGAAAATGAATAGAATTCCATTTTTGTATTGTATTGCTTCTCTATTGAATTAAGTCTTTGTCCCATTAAAAAGCCCCATCTTGTTCTGTCAATCTCTGAAGCAGCTATTCAGCAGCCAACCAACACAACAGAATTTCTCTATGCTGAATGCTCTTTTTCATTTTTGCATTGTGTCCTAGTCTCTTGTTATAATGGTGCTGCTACCAGAACTATAGACAACCGTATGTCAATATTTCTATGCCAAACCCAGTTTTATTAGTAGATGTTTGTAACAAGACCATTCTAATTTGTATAATCAAGATGAAGTTAAATACAATTATTCTTCATCCTAACACTAATTTCCTCTAAAAATACGCTTTATTTTCTCAATCACTTTTAAAACATGGACAATCATAAGCTAAAATATGCTGAAGCTGCAAAACTCCATGTTTCTGGCCATTCCTCCTCAAGTAAAAGGGGAGAAGAAAGAGCATAAGATAGATACCATGTAGACATTTATCATGAGCATTTTGACACAAAACACTAGAGGCCAGGGAATTCCTTGTCATGGCTGAAAGAATTTTTTGTCTTCAGAATGTTTATTCTGACCTTGCTCTGCAATGTAAGAGACTATCTGTATCTGCAGATGTTTTATCTTCCATTTAAACCATTTTGCATGTAATTTTTATTTTACATTGTGCATCTTTTCGTTCAGTTGTGGGTTTTTTTGTTTGTTTGTCTGTTTGTTTTCTCCTGTCATGTGCAGAGAACGTAAATGTCAGTTGCGTCTATGCCATGTCTATTTTCAGGCAAAGTGTTTGTTGCTGACCATGGCTATGAGTGTGAAAAGAAAAGATAAGCTTGTAGAAACTATGGCCTCATTTACATACTATTTTTAGTAAAGACCAATTCTTTCATCTTTGTAATGACTTCATTTCTTGCACAAGGTGAACTAAAAGTGGAATTTGTTTCTCCCTTGGTAGTATACGGCAATGAACTGTATTGCAGCTGTCCAGCTTTCAGATCTGCTGAGTTTGAAGTCCAGAGCTCTTTACATGTGCAGAATTTATAGTTTGTTTTAAAATAATACTGAAAATTTAACCAAGGACCAAAAGATTTTTTGAATTCCACCTCCTATTACGGTAGATTTTCAGAGAAAACAGGTTTTTCTTTCAATACTGAAGTTAATAGTCTAAGGTAAATCAATAGCATGCTTTGCAAGTGATACTTACAGACAGAGCCTAACAGCTTGGTGCTGCAAAGGAGCTCTCCCCTTTCTTCTTGTGTCTCCTTTTCCCTCTCCTGTACCCATCTGCCTCCATTCTGCCCTCTTCCTTGCATTATTTCAGACATCTTTTGGCCCTTCTATGGGGCTGATTTATCTACTGCCTAAACAAGCAGCTACCTATATTTTTGCTGACTTAGTTTTCTCTTGAGCCAGTGAGCTGAGTCAGTTCAGACAAGCTCTGATGGTGAATGGTGGGGGAACACACAACCAGGAGCACTGAAACAGAAGAAGGGGCCTGCTGGTAGTGAACTGTGAGATCATCTCACCCTATTTCAATGAGCTGCACCCTGTGTAATCTGCAGTATTGTGAAGGCCATATCTCCAACATACCCGGACAGAACAGGGGCTCAGCCATCCTTATGTAACAAGAATTTGGAATATTTTCTTGCTTGTGTATTCTTGTTCAAGCTCATAGCCTGTTTGCAGAAGTGGCTTGCTAGCTCTGCCTCTCAGAGGAGCGCTGGGGCAGTCGGGATTAGCAACACATCGTGCACGGATGATACAGCTGGTGGTGCTGCTCCTGGGCCCGTGCAGTTTAGCATCATATGCTATGATCACTTGCAGGCAGCTTGTTATAAAAAACCCCAATGTCTGCTTAAATCCTTGAGCTGGAGAAGCATGTTAGATCTGCCAGACTAAAGCTTCACGTATTTTTTAGTGAGCAGAAGAGGAGGGGTCTTAAGCATGAAATTTCACCCCTGGATAAATGCACACCAGGTGAAATTTGCATTTATTCATATTTTTTATCTAATTTTTGCACTAAAAATCCCCAAATGGATATGAATATCGGCCTCTGCTCACAGCCTTGCTCTTTATGCTTTCCCATAGTAGTAAATTTAACTCCTACTAGCAGCAGGTGAAACTGCTCTTCATGGAATAAAAGAGACTGCTTAAAGTCTTTAACTCTTTTCTTGATGGATTGATGCATCCATTTATGAATGCATATGTTTAAAGCTTCATTTATATTTTTCATTAATAACTCCATATGATTTTATATTGTTTGCCGTTGCTTTGCCACAAAATGAAGCACTGACTTTGGCAAGCTGAAGAGAATGAGCTCTCCCAGTCTTCTCCCTCTTCCTTGATGATGCCAGTCACTCTTTCCTGCATGTTTTGTTATATGCCTTCATTTTATCAGCCATGGTTGTCCAGAACTTTACCTAACTTTCTGGGTGACAAATTCCCAGGATTATGGTATAAACAGAATTTTTACCCCAAACAGAAAGAAGTAAGGTATGAAAGAAGTAAGGTATGAAACAGAAACAAAAGAGTAAGGTATGAAAGCTTCACTAATTCTGATTATGTTTCTTTGAGTTTGTCATAAGACCATGTTTTTAGATTTCAGTTCTTAAGTACATCTCAGTGTTAGCTCATAAGGATATATGTTGAGTAAACTGGATACGACCTTTTCTTCCTTTTTTTGACCCCTTTATGTCCAAGGGACAAATGGAGTTTATGCATGAATTCCTCCAGTAGAGCATTTCTCTGCTAGTTTGTGATTTCGGCTGGTTTATTCACCTGGAGACTACTGCTCTGTCTCTGAGATCATACTGCTCAGTGAAGTTTCATGTTCTGTCCTTTCCTAAGAAGAATGATTAAAGTGCAGAGTGAGATACACTTAGTGTGACTGAATGTCTGGAATGTACAATATGTGTTTGACAGTACAAAATGTTACCAAAATACCAAAGGGAATTGATACCATAGATAATACCCTACATTTTACATTGAAATATTTGTTTATTTTTGCATTTATCTTTATTTCCAGTTCTGTCACACAGTCTTTTTTATGCTTAATGTCTCAGTAAATATGATTTTCTTTCAAGGAGTTATATTCCTCTCTTTTAAGTTAACATTCATTGCTATATTGCATTAAATGTTCATTGCTGCTTGGCAATTCCAATCAATCAAGCACTGTCTCTCTATTCTGTTGTACTTTCTACCAGTGGAAAAGTTTAAGTACCCATTATTCTGGGCTGAAAAATGAGGAATATAAGCTCTGCAGAAACAGCTAATTGATTGACATGGTGGAATGCCATGTAATTTAAGAGTTTTTCCCAGGAAAAAAAAAAAAATGCTAATCCTAAAATTGCAAATTATGTACATTTTCAAAAAAAAAAAAAAAAAAAAAAAAAAAAAAAAGGACAATTAGAGAAGTTAATTATCATACAATTACAGTAATGGAAAGAAAAAAAAAACAAAACTAATCAAACACGAACAGCTTGTATAACCATTAACCAAGCTATGGTAAACCATTACTTAACTCTGACTTAAGAGATCCATCATGGGATTCATGGCAGTCAGTTAACTAATGCTTAAACAATTCCCCAGTAATTTAAAGCTGTGGTAAATGGCATCACTCAACCAAGCAGTCAGTCTTAGTCTCTACAGTTATTTTTAACTGGTATGAAGTTATGCTAACTCCCTCCTCCCTCTCCCTGCCTACATTGCAAATGCTAACGAGTCTTTACTAGCTGTGTGACACAGTATCAAGCCTTTTTCTGAAGTCCAGGCAGATGATATTCATTGTATTTATTTTCGAAAAAAAAAACACTATTTCTTCACTTAAGAGTAGTGTCAAATGAATAAGGTGCAATCAGCCTTGGCTGATTTAATCTTAACTTTTTTTAGTAAAGATAAAATGATATAAACCTTTATATTTATTTTCTTATTTTTAATTATTTTTTACTTTAAAAGTTGTTCAAAAATGATGTATTATCAAGATTGATCTAACAGCTGGTGTCTATGCAACACTTTTTTTTTTTTTTTTTTTTTTTCTCTCACCCTCACTGATTAATAACCAGTTGAATTAGGGAAGGTAGGTGAATTGCATAAGGTGGACAAAAGTTGGCTGAAGTGGACATGACCCTGATGATTGTTGAAGATGGAAGTGATAGAGAGGACTGATACTACTTTTGGAGCTTTGCAGTGGCTGAAGAAAGGTTCTGTACTTATTTAGTAATTTTACTTCTAATCTGAGGATCAAAAGTGGGAGTGAACTGATAAATTATGCTAGTGACACAGAGCTGAGTGGCATTGCCTTTGCAGAGGAGGATCAAAATATCACACAGGAACAGCTGGATCACTGAGGATAGAAGTAAAAAGAAACGGATGAAATTTAATAGCACAAAGTTCAAGGTCACACAGTCTCAGGCCAGCAAGAATTTCTGCCAAGAACTAGCAGCCTGTATCTTTGAAACAGCTGAAGAGAAGGAAAAGACTTGAGGCTACTATCTGATCACAGGTGAGCAGGAAAATGAAATTCCTTCTGTGTTTTGTTTGGCAGTGAAGACACTTTTTGTGCCTTTTTTCCCACACCTCACAAGGCACTCATTGCTGTCCTCATGCCACAGATTACAGTCTCCTCACTTGTGCCAGTGCAATGGGATCGCTCTGTAAATTAGACGATGTGAAAAAAAGTTGGAAGCTGTTTCAGGTGAAGTAATTCCAAAAGCCATGATGAAGCACCAGCGCCTGTGGGGGGTTGCGTCATGGGGAAGACTTGTGTGCAGTCCTGGTCAGACATGTGCAAGAAAAATAATGCGGTGTGAAGGAGGTGCATGGGTGGACTATGAGGCAGATTTTGGAGCATGGAGAGCTTATCTTACTAAAGGACATAAAAACGTCCTGGCTAGTTTTGCTTAGCAAAATAAAGTATTTGAAAGGACATGATTGCCATAAATATATGGGGTCCAAGGAGGGGGAACAGATGCAAACAGGGGAAGGAATCAAAACTTGCAAACTGTTAAAAATGTTACCATGACAAGTAGATCTAAAGCAGAATTTATTTAACACAGGTATATTTTGACCTGCAAATTAACATCTGGTTTCTAATCTGCAAATGGGTGAGCTCTGGTCCAGAACCATCTGCCTAGTGGGACAGAAATCTATTCGTGTCAGAGTGGAGATTGATTCGTTAAGAAAAAATATTTGATATGGCGCCTGTCATAGCAGGGACATGAACTGCATGAACTGTGTCTCAGGAGGCTTCCAGCCCTGAATCCCCAGGCAGTAGAAAGCATCAGATGTAGTCAGTATGCAGAGGACAGAGGACTGCTCTGTAAAAAGTACCTGATGAGCTTTTTTATTTTTTTGCTTTTTTTTTTTTTTGGTGATAAAATTCAAAGTTCGGTACTGTATTTTGTTTTCAAATACACATATTTTCCTGTGGACATTCTGTTTTGTGAAGCCCAGGGTACAAGAATTGATTCTGTGAGAACCAGCTGAAGTGTTTAATATAAGGCTGCTTATAGGTGACATCAGTAAATAATGACACAGTAATTTCCTGCATTCTATGATTTTTATAATTCTTTTTGCCCTACAACGGCAGGCACTTAGAGCTTGTAGAAAAGCTGTCAATTTAACAAACCCACTTTTACAGCCAGCAAGGCAGCACAAAAGAGCTTACAGAGAGAAGATGAGCCCTCTTGCATCGTCTCTGACGTCCCGCTGTCTTCCTCCGAGCCCCAGCCAGTGACCAGTGTCGGCGTCAATGAGGGGAATACGGCAGCGCTCCTCTGTTGTAGCTGCTCTTTCTTCTTGTAACACCACTGATGACCTCCTCAGAGCACATCTCTGAACCAGCAAGTTATTAGTGAGGAAGAACCCACCTCATGCAGCAATTCTGAGGGTTGTGTTGTGCCTTCCTGCAGACACCAGTGCTTCTGACAAGGAAGAAAGTGGTAGGCTTGGCTGGGCTGCCACACAGAAAATGGGAAGGCTGAGAAGAGAGAGATGGAGAGAAAGATGACAGTCTGGTCTTATTCCAGAAGAGATAGTGTGTTAAGGGTCAGCATTTATAATTGTCATGTTGCATCTCAAGATTAAAGAGTTTGAAAATTAGTTTAAGATCAGTTATTGAATAGAAAGGGCTGCAAGGGAAAGAGCGTCATTCCTCATTACACAGGCTTGAGATGAGATCCAAATCAGACCTGCCACATATATTCTCCCAGCTGCACATGCTCATAACCAGAAGAATGACAGCTCGATACCTACCTACATGTCAGTCAGTCCCTTTACCCCAGATAAACTCTTGCTTCCATGGTATCCTTTGCTTCAAAGCAATGCTGACAAGGATTTATTGAATTAACCTAAATGGCTTTAAGCCCCAATTCATGCTGGTGCAGCATGTCTCTATCAGGGTTTTGCACTGGTATAACTAATTGATTTAGTTACAGATGGGAAAATTTTCTTAACAAGAGAAGGCCTAAACTGCTGGCCAGGCTGCCTTTGTTGTTTGCAAGTAATCTCCCTCAGCCTGTTGTTAGCATAAATCTGTTCTATTTTGGATTCTCAGAGAGCTAATTTGTGCAAGAGTCACACAATAGCTTGGTTTACATTTCTAGCTCCTTTTCAAAACGGGATGGTAGGATTTAAAAAATGGACTTTTCATGACTTGTCTGCATTTCTGTGAATATTTCATTGCCTCCATCTTGGCCCTCACATATATTGTGGAAGAGAAATGTACTTCATAAGTGAGCTTTCTCTAATTGGATACACAGGGCAGTGTGCAGATACACTCCCTGAGTGTCTGGACTGGACATACATCACCCTATGAATCATATTTCTGACACAAAGAGCCATGTTAAGAAATCTGACAGCTTCTTCCTTTTGTTATCCTGTAATACTCGGTATGAATTTTCTCATCGTTGATCTCAGCGCTAAGCTTATCTGCTACAGTGTCCACAGGATACCAGCTGAGAACCTATGCACCCAACTGAAACCAAAAGGATGAAATCCAGGTTGATATCCCCAGAAAATAAGCATATTCTCACCTGAATGAAATTAAACTGAAAAGTGAAACAACCTTTTTTGGGAGAATTAGGTATGAGGTCCAAGTTTAGGTAAGTTTGCTATGGAAGCCGGTTGAATAATGTTGTAGAACCTGGGAAAACTGGGTCTTGGTCCTATTTATTTTACACACAGAGATGTAATCATAATTAGTTACTGAAGGTTTTCCTGTTAACTTTAAAGGACACTGGACTTTGCATTTCCACATCTATCAGTCCATTCAGGAGAACAGTGCTGAAACCTGGAGACAGTGATACAACTTCCAGTGACCATATGGCAGTCATTATCACTCCTCAAAACCAAAGGTGTTGTAGGCGACTTTTTACACAGGATAGTATGGACATTAATAGTTAATTTGCAGGAGTTGTTTTGTTGTTGTTGTTTGTTTTAATATCAGCTTTATTCTTCTTCAGTTCTAGTCCTAAATGGTTTATATTCATTTAGGGAGTATGTAGTAGTCTCTGACACAGCAAGAATTATATTTTCATTGAAGTCATTTATGCTTTTTGTGTATTTGAACGATATCAATTTTGCAGTCTAATCCAAAGAAGTGGTGGGAAAGTGTGGCATTGCATAAGCTGGTATAGAGAGACTTGAAGGTGAGTACATCAAAGTAATCTTTTATTTGCCTAAATCCTTAACCTATGTGTCTAAAATGATTTTAAACCACCCATAGAACTGAAAAATAAAGGATTTTACTATGTTAAGTACTCTTATTGCTGACTTTTTGCTCAAACAAATCCCAAAGAAAACAATGTTTTCTCATCAAGAACAAATGGTTCCATTCTCTGAAGTATGTTATGGCTGTACATTTTTATTTTTTTTTCTAATTTATTGTAAACAGATAAACATGAATAAATAATGCAATTTTCAAGGAAAAGATGTTACTGCAGCCTGGACATTTGGACTTTTATGATAGTTTTGTGTATTGCAAAGGCTTTTGAAAATTAGCTAAGAGAATGCTTGATAGCTGGTAAAGAAATTAGCACTCACGCTGGCTCATTTACCACATTGTGACTGAGAACCCGCATGCATCCTTTTTGGACAAATTTCACATTGTTCTTCAATTCATATCCTGATTTTCCAAAATAAATGTTACAATTTTCTCAGTAGACTATGCAACAACTTCAAAATTTATTTATTTACTGATGAAAATCTTTATATATATATATATATATATATCTGAGAATTAAATTCTCTTTACAAAGTCAGTCAAAAGGCAGAAACTACTTGCTTTATATGATCTGGATATAAATATAGATTTTATTTTTCATTGCAGGAAATGTCCTACAGTTTCTAACAATACTGATCATTTTTCAACACTTGTGTGGTTTGTGACACAGTTTTTTCTCTGTATTAGGAGGATCTCTGGCTACCTGACAAAGTGCAGTGCTTAGCTCTGCAACAGCCAGAAGTCAGGAACTGGCTGAAGGAACAGAATTCATGGTAATAGGCATCGATATTCCTTATACACTAAATGATGCAGTTAGGCTCCAGGGATGGGATTTACAACAACCAGCATGGTGAGAGGGGAAGATTTAAGCCAGGCATCAGCATAAGCCATTTCTCCATCCATCTTTTATTATATCAGGCCTTTTGCAGTTCTTCTGTCTCAGCTATTTTAGTTTGCTCTCACTTTCTTTGTTTTTCCTGATTTCCACACTCTTTCTTTCCCCGACTCCCCTGTTTTATATATTTAGTGATGAATAACACTGAGGAGATTTTGTTCCTATACATCTCCACGCTCCTTCCCTAAGCACCCCACATTATATTACACAGCTGTGAAGTCACATGCAAGCAATAGGTCAGTAATCTCACAGACTTCACAGTAAGTCCTGTTTTCTGGATGCCCATATTTCACTGTCACTTATTGTTTATGTTTTTTCTTTTTGGTTTTTTTTTTTTTTTTTTTTTTTTTTTTTTTTTTTTTTTTTTTTTTTTCCCATTACTGTTGTGTATCTTAATCTCAATAATACTTCTAATGGTATGAAAAGTGTGATAGCTTCCAACCCAAAGTCCTGCAGTGCTCTGTTGTGGGCTTGATTTAAGCGATGAGCAAGGGATCCTAGTTGTGTTACCTCCTGAACACAGGATAGGTGCCATGCTATGACTCTTGAGGCAAGAGACACAGCTCAACTCCTGATATTTATTTATGGAGCACTAAGGCTAGTCAGTTAGGTACCAGAAAACACTTCAGGAGTGAGTTTATGCTTGCTACCCCTTGTTGGCTTACATCCCCCCTGTCTTTTAAGTAAATTCTAGCCTCTGAGGGCATGCATGAAGAAGATATTGGGTCTCAATGTGTATAAAGGTTGTTAAGAAGGAAGCAGAAGCTAGATCAAGTCTTCCCTTTCCCTAGTGGATCACCCAGTGATGAGACTCACACTCTTCCTGGGCCAGGTTTATTTCTCAAGCCATTGAGGGCTTCTTTTCTAGGATCTTAGTTCAGGTTTTCCAAAGCCCACTGCTTCAATACATCATGCACCTCTTTTTGATGCAAAATAGATCCTTGTTCCTAATCTATGGGCCATAGATCTCGTAACCTATATGTCTTTGGGTACTTGCAAAATTGCTGAGTAAATAAGGAATAGTCATCTTCCTAACAGCAACAATAACATTTTTTGACTACAGAAGTCAGAAACGTACTATGGATATGAGTTTTCCAAGGATGATATTGGTAGCTCCCATTCTGACATGTAGATTACACATCTCAATTTCACTGTCTCTAGCCTAATACGTATATCTTAATACGTACTGTATCTTTTAATACACATTATATTATATCTTATACAATTGCATACTGATGTGAAATATATATTGCATATGTTAAATAAAATGTGATGTGAACAAACAAGGTAAAATGACACTAAAAGAAAAATAAAGTATTTGTACTTGTTTGATTTTCACACAGTGGCGTGTCTTTGAGGACATAATACTGGTTATGTTGAAAAAGGCTAATCTATACATGAAATTTAAAGAATCCAAATGCATGAAGCACGGAGGATAGAGAGTGGCTCTCTGAAATCTAAGCTCACCTGCCCCTTGCTTATGTCTGATCTCAGTTAACATGAACAAATCAGGTTGCTGCATTTTCGTCATCTGTTTTCAGGTTGTTTTCAAGGACTATTTATAATGCCTCAGAACATGTTTTATGTTAGAAATAGTTGACCAATGTGGAAGTGAAAAAGGACCCTCTTGGCACCTCAGGCATGTGTGGAGGGAGAGGGCAAGAGTTTTTAGAGTGACCTAAGCAGACCAGCTGGAGAGTAACCGGTTGGTTGAACAGCTGACATGAGAAGAAGCCATCACAGGAACAAGGATGGGTCCTGGATGCCTGTAGAATGAGATGAGGAAGTAATTTTGTTCATACACACACTCATTCTGTGAAGATCTGTTTATTTACTTACTCTGGTGTCAATGAGTAGCCTTCATTATGTCATTAGGACTACGTGTTTGAGATTAATCACATGCTTTTCATGTTTCCCCTTGCTGAAGACAAATATTCAGGAAAAACTGTTCTTGGAACATTCTTCATATTACATCCATGTCCTGCCTCAGATCTGAGATTGCTAGCAATGCTTATCAGCTTACACCCTACACTGGGTCTGCTTCATGAGAACCAAGTCAGCACCTGGGCCTGCAGCCCTTGGCTGGAGGTGGAGGAGGGCATGCTGGAGCCAGGAATGGCAGAGGGTGACTGTGAAAATAGCAGGACTCTGGAAAAAGAGCAAAAGGAAGTTGCCGAGAAAGGCTTCTGGGGGCAAGGAGATCTGAAAATGGAGAAATGTAGTGAGGCAGAGGTATGTGTTACATTCAATGGATGAAAAAATAGCACAGTGTAATATTGGGGTCATGATATACATTTATATCATCTGGACCAAAACATGAAATATCTAATGCAAAGAGTGGTAGCACAGAAAATGTTGTTAATGAAAAAAGTACGCTGTTTCTTGAATTAGTAAATATTTATTTATTTTCAATAATATATTTATAGATGTCGTCTAGTTTCTATGTATCTGAATTCTGTGCACAACCAAACCATCTCAACTCCCTGCCCCACTCATAAGGACCTAAATTTCCTGATCATGTTGAACATGTCAAGGCTGCGGCAGGTAGGAGGTGACACTTGAGAATGTGGCCCCTTTCCTTCTCTGGCACCACGGCTTCATTCCAAGCTATGAGCAAATGCCTTTCTCCGCTGGGGATCACAAATCTAGAGTCCTCTCCTGGTGACAGTCTTTTATAACTATTGCTTCAAAGGATTGATCCCAGTTCTCTCCTTTCTTTTAACAATCATGCAGGGAGAGGTGGTTTCCTTGATTCCTATTAATGATCAGAGGGCTTGCCGGAGAAATGAGACACCCAGGCTCAGTACCTTCCACAGTCTGAAATGGTTCAAACACGTCTCTCTAATTGGTGGGGCATGTGCAAAGAAGCCTCTTGAAACTATTTCAGAACTTCAGTGCTATGTTGGAGGAGCCACAGTGCGTTTACTGGAGAGAGGTTGGATGGAGTATCCTTGGGCATGGTGGCACAGGAACCCTGTGTCCTAGCTGAATGCTCTAGCCAGCAGGCTATTTTGCAAAAAGGGACTCTCTAAGCAGAGTTGGAGTGCAGTTGGTGCTTTGGATTGTGATGGAGCGTTAGGTGGGAGTTAAGCATTCATTGCCCCAGGATAGGCATTTATGAGCATATGTGGGAAAATAAATGCCTCAAGAACTTTCAGATGAAGTAGGGATATGCCTGATAAATCCTGGTCCTTCAGTAGACCTCTGGTGCATTTTGATCCCCCAACTTAGAGATAAGATGTTGCTGAAATGCATCTTCCTACCATTAAGCTCAGATGGTCAGAAAAACTGACAAAATGCATTTAAATGGAAAACTTAAATGAAAATGTTTTTAATTCATCCCCTCTTCTTCTCTTTCCTTTCTTTTTATGCCCTCTTATGAATTTGAACTCTTTCTCAGAATTTCTCTCCGGAGAGCTCCTCTATCTCACTCCTTAGGTTTCTCAGATTTAGAGAGAAATATAAAGACTATTTTTACTTCTACACAGGGATTAATAGAATCCTGCCTGTCTAGCTGCAGGGTAAATCAGCACAATTTCCCTCCATGCCAAATGCCAGGAGTTTGTCATAGATGTACTTAAGCCCCATCATTAAATGTGGCTTGCAGTACATGCTGTGTACTAGTAGTGGTTAGCTAGGGGAGAATGGTACAAATGATGACCAAAAGGCTAAGTAAGACCCACTTCCAAATGTGCTGTGACCATATCCCCACACTGACAGCAGATCTGCTTTGCTGATCATAAATGTTTTATTACTTGGATAGACTCTTTAAGCCCTGCCATTTTTGGCATTTAAAAATAAAAGGATAAACAAAAACACATCTGGTCTACAAATGTGCATGCCATGTTTGAGCTTGATGCAATTTCGAATTAGTTGTTAAACATTGAAAATCAGGGTTCATAAGGGAAATGCCTACTCAGCTGATTGTAGCGCAACTGGTGCAGCTATTACAGACGACAGACACTCCTGGAATAGAAGATAACTGTGTATGGCTACAGAGGCATAGGCAGGAAAGAAAAGCCAGATGGTGTACTTAACTGCACTTAAAATCTGATTGTGTGTGTCAATAATGAATGCCCAAATCGGATTCTTACATAAAAAAAAAAAAAAAAAAAAAAAAAGAATAGATATGAATACTAGTAGAATAAATGCAACCCTACAGAAAAAAATGTGTGTATTCCATCACTGTAATAATGGTTATGATGATGACCAGTTAATCTGCATTTGCTGCAGTTTTCTAAATACTTAAACATTAAATATGTTACAATGCAATAACAAAATAAATAAATCATAGGAATAATTCTGACAAATAGAAAACTATTATTTATAGCTCATTTTCTTAAAAAATACAGATAGTCTCTTTTGCTTAGATTGCTAGGAAAAAAGTTGCTTCCTGGATGATACAGTCTGAAAATACCCACCCTTCTATGGACAACAGAATGAAAACCTGGTGGGGTCAGCTGAGTTCTTCGTCATTTCAAGGTAGATTAGGTTGTTTATTAAGGATGAAAGTTAGGCCTTATGGTAATTGATG